TGGGGGGTATCTCCGCAATCTACCCTTGCACTCAGCACAATCTCTAAGCTCCCTTTGGCCAGTTTCCAGTCAATGGAAGCTGCTTAAACCGTGCTACCGCCCTCCCACTCCCAGCAATGCATTGCACAGAGATGCACATGGCCCTGGCAGTTGGATGTTTTGAGCAGCTTGCCGGGTGCAGCAGGAAGGGAGCCTGCCCAAGGGTCCTGCTGGGCTGTTAGCCAGGAGCCACCTAGGGTAAGCACCTTCAAGCTAGAGCATCCACCTGGCACCCCATTCCCTCTGGCCCTCCCTGCCCACCTGCCACAGGTCACAACTCTCTCCCAGAATCTGCATGCACTCCTACACCCCTCCCCCAGGTCAGAATCCTCTCCTGCACCTACCGCTCCTGGAGCCTGCACTCCCTCCTAAAACCAATCCCCTGACCTAGGTCACAACCTCCTCCTGCACCCACACCCCCTCACAGACCCCACACTCCCTCCTGCACCCCAGGCCCCTACCTCTAGCTCCCTTCTGCACCCAGCCTCCATCCCAGACCCTGCACCTCCTCCATTAACATAAAATAGTGAGGTGTTTGACCACTTAACAAATTCCTGGTCCCCCATTAAAAAATTATTTCCCATCCCTGATATACCCATGGAAGAGATGCCTTGGAATGTTTTGGTAAAAACAAGTCTTTGATTTGACAAATTTATGAACCTATTAAAATAATTATGGTGCCAACATTTGTGCGTTTAACTATAAGTTCCACAATCTCTGTGCTTTGCTTAAATCTCCAGCTCCTGGAATTGTATTACACACACATCTTGGCTTTCACTGGGGAAAAAATCATGTTTTCATAAGTTATTCCTGACTGATAATGCAGAAAGTGAGAGGAGAATAAGACCTCATGTTTGAATATAGAATGTGTTCTCTAATCAAAATATAAGGCACTGATTCCCAGCCTTTGGTGCACATACCATTACACAATGATGACAATTTCATGCAGACTACTCCAAGTCCCAGTATTGAAACAGAATTGTTAGAATGCGGGTTAGGATGTGCTTCAGTGGTAAGGCATGACCCTGTGTAGCTTAAGTCTTAGGCTATGTCTATGCTATAGTATTATAGCAGCATCTAATAGCTATGCACTGTAAGCTCATAGTGTAGACACAGACTATGGTGATGGAAGGGGGCTTTCCATTGCTGCAGGAACTCCACCTTCCTGAGTGACAGCATCTACACTTCAGCCTTATGTCAGTATGGCCTTATGTCAGCACAGCACCATAGCTATGTTGACCTAAAGTTTGCCTTAGTCTGGCAAACTATGTTCAAAAAGCTGCAATTGCCAGATGTCACAGATATAATTACATTGTAAAATGGTAGCACAAACTCATTATTTGCACTTCCCACAGTATAAACCATAATATTTGCTGGGAGGATATTTACACGTTTTTCCCATTCATCCTGGTTCCTTTTGAGAAGCTTGACCTTGAATATGAAAGATGTACATCCTAATTAGTACCCTGCTAGTGTGTTAGACTGAGGAGGTGGTTATGGAATGTAGACAAGCAAGAAGCCTGCCTTTTTTCAGTAAAATACTGGCTATTTTGATTGCAGTATGCTACCCTTGTCTGTGCATTCTGCTACATTGTGGGTAAAGTGTGAAAAGAACTAAGACAAACAATGCTATTTTCCTCTTGTGGTGGCACTGACCTTTTTATTGTCCTGGATACATTCTTAAGATGGGGGAGAAGAGAACCTAACCTAACTTCTTACTTTAGCAGTGCTATGTGGGTGAACACATGGTTGAGAAAAGTGAGTTGGGTAAAGTTTATTAATAGAGCAATGTTTCTATTGTGTAAATAAATGTCAGCCATGCATGTTCTGGGGCTCTGGCTCTGATTTCAGTATTGTTAATTTTATACATTGGCTTCAAGGGAGCGACTCCTAATTTACACTGATTCTTCTGAGAGCAGACTCTGCTCCTAGGGTTTTTTACATTCACAGTGGTTTTTGAATGTGCAGTTATTTAGGGAAGAAAATATTTTAAAATAAAAAAAAGCATTGTGTCACTTACAAGAGTGATGCATTTTTGCACTGTATATAGTACTATTACTGCACTGGTTAGTCTTCAAAGAATGCTTGGATGATCTTCTTACAGTAAAAAAAACCGTGGAAAAATCAGACATTTTTAAGGCAAAAATGTTTATTAGACGAAGTTTGTAGGGAGGAAAATGCAAAACAATAGGGCTTAGAATGATGTATTACAGTCATTGCAGTACTATTAATCCAAGTTATCTTCTAGTCTATTGTCCATTTTTTTCTGTGTATCCTTTTACCAGCTTGCGAAAGGAAAGGCCACTGCCTTCATGGGCCCAAGTGGTGGAATGCATTTAGAATGTTGTAGAGATCCAATGCTATGCTGCTATGTTTCAAATCCCTGATATCAGTAACCAGCCTGCAAGCAGAATGATTTCCACCCTGATTACCACCAATTTCATTAATCCTTAGAGGGTGACTTTCACAACTCTTCTGATCCTGGGCCTCCCCTAAATCTACCCACACCACACTCTTAAATACCAGACACTTGGACTTTTCCTTTCTGGTTTGTCACTTCTGAAGGAGAGAAACCTGCTCCCCAGTTCTCAGTTTACTTTGGGCAAACATTCCACAGAGTTTGCACAACAGGGACATGCTTGAGATAAAAATAAACAAAGGGTTTCTTTAATAGAACAGATGAAATTGTAAGGGAAGTCAAACACATCCAGGTAACACAGAAAGTAAACATCAAGATACAACCTCAGGTTTTGCACTTGAACATTACATGTAAATTCCTTTTCTAATACAGTAAAACTCCAGTGGTTCGGCATCCAGTGGTACAGCACTCCTGATGGTCCAGCACCATCAGGAACCTAGAAGTGCTCCGGGCAGCCAGACAATTGGAGCTGCTCTTCCCCCGGCTTCCCCGATTCAGCCGCTGCTGAAACTGACCAGTGGCTGACTCAGGGAAGCCGGGAGCAGAGCAGCTGGGGTGCTGCCGGATTGGTCCCGTAGCGCCACCCCTCAGGGCTGCGGGACCAAACCCGCCGCACCCCAGCCTCCCCGCCCCCCGTGG